TTATATGTAGTATATAAATTCGCACTGAACCTTTTTTTATGGTATAGAAGGGTAAAAAAGCAGATGGGTCACCTGATGGCAAGTGACTACTGCCGCCCAACGAGACCTGCAACTCAAAAGTCATAAGTAGGTTTCCCCCCTCCCCTTCCCCCCTAAATCAGAGGGAGGGGATTTAGTCTACAACACACGACAAGAAAGGATTGCTTAACACCGGATTCCTGAGACCTGTGATTCATGCCGTAGCATGGTTCTCCCATTGTTAGCATTGCTCTCTCATGGTTAGCATGGTCCATTTCTCTAATGCGGGGAGGTGTGTATTTAGATTTGGTAACAATTTAAATTATTATAATTTTTTAATTACTTTAGGATTGTCACCTAGGACAAATAGTTGTGTAATCATCTTGTCGGGGTTTAATTTATCTATATAAGTAGGTGTATTTTATGTGTTCTATACTAGGACGTTTAGTGTTACCTTACAATTAGATTTCCTTTCACCTTTCTCTTGTCAGATTGATCCATTAAATGAACTACCATCGTTTGAAATTAAAAACTACCTTGCACGGCATCTGAAATATATATACAGTACTGCCTTTCACCGACTGTTGGTAACTGCCAAATAAAAACAAGAACTGAAAGTATCAAAGTTTAAATGCAATCGATACTGGACGGAGATTCATTTAATGCATTTTTTCACCGACTTTTCGTTAGTATGGCATTCGTTGCTGCAGAGTCAGATAAAAAGCGTTATAATTGCGGACTGTTTTTATCATATTTATGTATATTTCGTTGATAAGTGATAATGAGTTACAGCCAGAGTGGAGAGGAAATTAAATGAGCTGCTGTCATTATCAGTTGCCGTATGTAAAACAAAAATATTACGTTTATAAATACTTTTGCGAACAAGAGTCTCTAGGCTTATATCAAATACATTGTATATATTTTTGACATCATTGAATTTGTATATAAAAAATATATTAAATTCATTTATTTAATAAAGTGTATTATTAGGCCTTCTACGAAGCGTTTTGTCTAAAAATAATAACATTCGTATCTATATCCACTATTATCCAATGTTATCTTGAAGTAGAGATTTAAAATTAATTAATAGATAAATAATTTTTACGTTGTATCAAAGGTCACGTGCGTGTCTTGAAATTTCGAAAGTCTTAAAAATGTGAAATGAATTGCACCATTGTTTTATTGAGATTGATGATGATGATGAGATTTTTTTTTTAAATCTGATCTTTATCAGTTTCCTTTTTTTATTGTATAAGAGGGCAAACGAGCAGATGGGTCACCAGCAGTGCTATTCTCTAAGGAAATAGCCTTGCGTACAGCGCTGTCACAGCGTCGAATTTCAAAGTAAGTTTTAGTTTGAAGTTCTACGCTGTGGCAGCGCTGTACGCAAGGCTGTTCCCTTAGAGAATATCACTGTTGATGACAATAGTTACGTCCGGCCATAAACACCTTCAACTGAAGAGACACAGTGTGCTGCCGTTATTTTAGATCAAGAGTTGCCACCACTAACCTCAGTCTGTTGGTGAAAAGTAGAAAAATACACGGGTTTTCTGTGAAGTCTTATAACTGCGGTCGAACTGGCCCATGTGTGTGCGGAAGCATAGCTCTCCAAAGGAAAAAAATATTTTTTATTGTGCTTGATGTATTGTGTACAATGCATTAATACAGTAATGTTCTATTATATTGTAACAATATTACTGTTACTTTAGTAAGTAAACGCACGGTACGTTAAGTTGTGCTAACACAGTTGTGTCTAACAGTATTATATTGGATTGCATCCCAAAATTTCAAGAAACCTTATTCTAAAGTAGTGTCTGCGAGGCCCCAAATATCAGCAATCCCATTTCCATTAAAGAATGTGTTTTAGTCAGGCAAATTTAAAAGTTATTTCAGTAAAATCATAAAAATTGTGAATATTAAATTTAGAATAGTACAACATGCATTCGATTAAACATCATCCATTGATAAATCTATTGAGCTTCAGCGACATATGTGAAATGGACGTGGTCACGAATTTGAAAGTAGTTTGGCTTTGTTTCATTATTGCCTATAGGTATATACATTATGATTGTCAGTTATGATATGCATTCACACTGGTGCTAGAAAGTCTTTCAGTTAGTGACTTAATTCTGCGAATTGCGTATGGCGCGGCGTTCAAAATGCATAAATCATGCGTGTAAAATGACATTAGAGATTTTATCCGTCTAATTAGATCATAGAGAAAAGGTAATGCTATATAGCGCTCTTCACTTCTTAACAATCTAATCTTGACTGAAATATATTAAACCCAGCGTTTGACGTAAAAAAGGGTGTCCTCTATATAAAAAGAACTAAGTTTTAGTTCACTAGTCTACTCTAATGCGGATTTGAGAGTTAGCAAACTTTCTAGAGCATGTATCTTAGTTACTTACATTTACTCAACGATATTTCGGTCACCGTTTAAGCAACTAGTGAAAAGTTTCTTATACGAACGCGAACTTCAAAACTTTACAGTTGAATTTATAGACTAGTCAGTAATCGCTGCTGTTTATGACCAAGTAACTAAGCTGTATCACGTATACGTTCTATGAAGCCTCATACATAATTTATAAGTTTTAAACTTTCGCGTTCCATGATAATTAATATTATTTAACGGGAATTAACGCGATCTCTTATTTAGGGTATTACATACCTCTGGTTTGCCTGACGTTTCGACCAGGTTGCACCGGCCGTGGTCAGCCTGTGACCACGGCCGGTGCAAAGAGATCGCGTTAATTCCCGTTAAATAATATTAATAATTTATAAGGTTTATATAAGCGGGCTTTATCAACTACTGTGCCTCGGGGTACAGCTGAGCTCTGAGTACCCAATGTAGGTCCCTTGATTCCTGCTGTCATAAAAACAAAGGCAACAACCGACATACACACAAATTTTATATGTTACTTCAATCTGATAAAAATAGTTTCTTCTACATTTTTAATTAGTACATTGATTTCGTATGAATAAAAATGGTCCATGTAAACGCAGGTCCCATATGCCTATTTTGACCCGATTTCACGAGTTTCCGACGGGTTCCAGACTAAATGGTCTCAGTCTTATATTATCTAATGAGTCTTATGATTATTGTGAACCTAGGCTGCTGCTGTGTGTAGAGTATCAAAAGAATTTGAAGCAATTACTTTATATGAGTGTATTTTCGAAGTCTGAATAAGTCAGTACGCCTATATGCACCGAAAGAAATTGACAATAAACCTGTTGCAGATCATATAATTTAACATTCAATGTTATACTAACACGTTATTGTTACGTAAACTGCATAGATAGAAAACAGACAAACAACCTATGCATCACATCAACAGCCTTTAATAGTCCACTACTGGACATAGGCCTCTCCTTAGAAAGGAGGTTTTGGCCTACTATACCACGCTGGCCAAACGGGTTGGTATAGGGTTTGTGTCAAGTTTTCCTTCTTTTTGCAGTGCTGGTGGCCTGCGTTGTTTTGCGCCCTTAGTCGGCTCATACGACACCCACGGGATGAATTGGGGTAGTGACATTCCGTATTCTTAATCCGTCACTACACGGACACAACCTATGCACACATTTATGGATATACTATAGTATGTAAGAATATTTAGCCCCTTCCTTGTAGCTTACCGAGTAAATTATACGAACCCTAGGTCCAAAATATTAGCGTAGAACTTACGATCTCGGCTAACACTGAAGCTAAATATACTTTATGTTAAATGGAACAGTTCAGCCATAATTTTAATGTGTGTGTCCGTTTGTCATTAGCATAACATTCTGAGAATCTTAGTATATGTATTCACGCTTTAGCAATGGGTTTTTCATTTTATATGTAGTTTGTAAATGATTAACTTCTCATGACTTCTAAGTTTTTTTTTCTAACAACAACTGAAAACTTTGTGTCTAATTTTGGAATATGATAGTGTACCTACTATTGAAATATTCTAAATAGCGACTTAAGTTAGTAAGTACTCAAGTTAATAACTTGTTAAAAATATAAATAGATAAATAAAGTTTTATTTATCTATTTATATTTACCTATTGGTTAAATTAAAATAAAATTAAATCGGAAGCGCAGTAAATAGGGCGGAAACTTTACCTTCTACCGCAGTATCCTCAATTAGCCGGACAAGTAAGGAAATATTAAGAAATAAATAAACGTACACTTTGTTTTGCATTGACACTCCTTAAAACTTAACCTTATAGTGTTGAAAATTACAAAAGTGTATTTTGTATAATACTACAACTTGTTTTGGAACTTTGTTTTAAAAATGCTACAATAAACTATAAATTAGTTGTACCCAAAATTCACTATTATGATATATTAAAACCAGAAAAAAAAAAACTCCGAATTAGTAGAGATTACTCAAGAAATTAACATTACACTCACTAAAAGTTCCGATATCATAAAAGTATACTTTTGGTAGTTCAAAGTTCATCACTACTATACATGGTTTTACTATAATTGGATCTATCGCAATTTATTTATCGTGTTAATCAGAATAATAGTGAGTGGTAACGTTCACGCATATACTTAAGCTGATTTTTTTACGTGCCTACATGATTTTTTGCAGCAGGGACATTAAAAAAACTATTTTTTTAAATGTTAATTTAAAAAAAATAGTTTTTATGTTAGTAATTTCATAAAACTTTTACATAGAACTAAAACACGTTGAACAATAGTGTTTTTTTAAATTAAAATCCAAATACTTATTTGATAAAAATTATAAATTACAACTAAATACTTAGAAATAATCAAACATAAAAATAATATCCTTTATGATGCTAATTATTTTATTTCAATTCGATGATGAACAGCTTTCAATTACAGAATATTACAGGGTATATTAGATACAAATGCTAAGTGGCTTACTAAATTAATTGTTCCTATAAATACTCTAGTTCTTATAATATTGTGTCAGGATCGATGAATCCATATTTTAGAAATTAAAAAGTCTCAAATATATATTCCTTTTCAGTGATTTCGAGCAACAATTATCACCATTTCTGATACAAAACTCTTGTGATGAGGACATTGGCGCATCCCCCGTTGGTTTGGAGCCAACCAGTCCCGGCAACGTTCAAGATGTCATTATTCGGAACTCGAACGACACTTCCAACAGTTCGTCCGACGCCAATGACACATTTGATATGGAGAACTTCGAACAGAACATTGTTCCCGGATTCCTTAACAAAAATACATTCCAAAGTCCTGGTAAGTACGTAGAACTTTATACTTTAAGGTATGAAAAAAGAGAGATATATATACAAATAGTGATAGGATAGTGAATATGACCCGAAAATGTTGTCTTGGTTTGGGATATGTTAGAGGGGACAGACGAGCAGACGGGTCACCTGATGGAAAGTGACCATCGCCGCCCAAGATATTTTTGTCTTTATCATTCGGAGCCATCTTTTAAATTATAATTGAATGTCTGACAAACAGATTTACATTTTACAATAATTACACGATAACGGATACTATTATTTGTAGGAAATTAAATCGTCTGTCTATAAAATTTAACATGATCCATACTAATATTATAACTGCGAAAGTGTGTCTATCTGTTACCTCTTTACGCCTAAACCGCTGAACTGATTTAGATGAAATTTAATACAGAGATCTTCCGAGAAGGACATAGGGTAGTTATTATCCCAGAAATCGTCCTTTAGGGGGGTGGAAGTTTGTATTGGGAATCAATCACAGTTCAACCGATTTAGATGAAATTTGGTATGATTCTTTGATTCTTGAGGATAGACATAGCATTTACAGGCAGACCTTTTTACCGCGATAACCGACGAACTACTAAATTAAACATAATAAACTTTAAATAGATATACTTCTATCATACACTTTCAGACATAATTTCAAATTCATTTAAGAAAGACAATAGTTTAAACAGTAGATTAAACTCCCACGTTTCAATTTCGCACGAACTCGTCCACTGTATTAAAATGTCTGTTCTCAAAACTTATATATTCAAGTCAGATGTGCACGGTTTTAGGCACTGTTATAAAATTCAATAGTTGATATCTTTCAGAATAGAATTAAAAATCAATAGGAACCGTCCTATCTAAAGATATTTCTAAGAATTATTTGTAATTTAGTCCGTCCATTATTTTATATGCGTTTATAATTTTAACACATAGATTTTTTTACAAAAACATAAGAATGTACGTTTATCAGGTGGTTTACGAGCGTACTTCAGTTACTTATTAAAACATTCCACGCAGCTGAATAAATTGAATTCTAGTTGGTAGCTTGGCGATGGGCCTTAACGACAACCTCTTTTAAGTATACCTACATACAAGTATGCATTAGTCACCCTTCTGCAATTTAATCGAAATTCAATTTGCATTAAGTACTTATTAAGACGTATTTTCATACAACCTTTAAAGTTCTGCTAATAATAATTTTCTACTAAACTATATACTTTTACTCCCTAGGTAAAACCAATAGGAAACGGCGACTCTCCCAAACACCGCAAGTGGCGGTTCAACCCAAGGTCCAAAGACCAACAGCGAAACTGTCCGTCACTTCCAGCACACCTAAACCACAACTTGTGGTGAAGGCCCAACCCCAGAAACCCGTCAAAGTCGCTAACATTCAAGTTTTAAACCCGCAAACGAAAGTGTATTCTAAACCGGTTGAAAGTGTTGCTCCACAAAGACGAGTTATTCGAGTAGCTCCCATGGCCGGCAACCCTCGATCTATCCTCTTACCAGTTACTATAAAAGACATGAAAGATCTTAGGTCTATTAAAATTATCAACGCGGCAGATTTAAAGAACGCTTCTAATCTCAAGCTGGCAGCTGCTAACCTTCTATCGCAGAGCAAACTACAAGATTTAAAATTGGAATCCCGAAATGATTACGACTACGACAACAGCAACAATTGCGGTGAGACATTTAATTATTTAGTTCACTAACAAGCCACTATCATCTTTTGATTGGTGACAATTGCACGAATTTAGCCATAGTGATATAACGTAACCGGTTCGGTCAATGAACCCATTAACTTTCGTTGTCACGCAAATACGCTGGAAAAAGGCGATTTTTAAAACGAATTAGTCAACTGGTTATGTACTCGCCTAACTTTATTTTTCCACTCAGATGACTCAGGAAGTGAACGTAGCGACGATGAAGATGACCACAAAGAACCTGTCGGCGACGGAAAGAATGGTTACCCACGTTTGGTACTGACGGCAGAAGAACGAAGACTTCTGGCTAAAGAAGGCATCAGTCTACCCACAAGCTATCCCTTGACGAAACACGAAGAAAGGGAACTGAAAAGAATTAGGCGCAAAATCAGAAATAAGATCTCAGCCCAGGACTCGCGTAAAAGAAAGAAGGAATATGTTGACGGACTTGAAGACAGGTAAATAAACTTTGAATATTAGGATGTCAATGAACTTGACTGTCTATTATTATTAAGGCAATGCCTTAATAGTGTTATGAGACTTAGTTGTTTGCGAAAGGCATATATACATAATACATAAATAAACATAATATGTATACAGTTATAATTTTTTAACGTGTATAGTTATATGCATGTTTTTAGCCGTTTGTTTTTTGATTGAATAACTTTACTTGGGTATTATTAATTGCTGACGCTATATATCGAGATTCAGGCCGCTGCCGTACATAGCAGAAACGAACACGTAATCATTTCAATGCTATTGTTGCATAACATTTCCGAAATGAAAGTCAGCACACAGTAATATGGAATTTTCAAGCTTTTATTTAAAATTACTTAAATGTGGTATAACAGTATACCTTTATTTTCGAAGTTATCGTTATTCGATTCTCTTTCGTTTCACTCTCTCTTTATAACTTCCTTTCTGATATTATTTAGCTTGAATGTGAATTTAACATTTAAAATAACTGCTACGCTCGTCATGTATATAAAACCTTTTCTATGTATAGCAGAGAATATACATGTGTTGAAGAGGTGCTTTTATAGAGGCCCTTCTTCAGTAGACTGCGGATCTGGTCAGTTTGTCTTTCGAGGCTTGCCCGCACCTGCTCGCCCACACAAAGGGGCCTTATAAACTCTTTTAGAATGGGGAATGAGCGTATACATACATAGTATATAACATTAGAATATAGTAAATCATCGCCAATAAATTAAAACTGAGGTGCATCCATTGTACATTAGTTTGCGAGCAACCAAATTGTTTAGAACAGCATTTTTTTTTGAGAAATTCGTCTCTACCGAGCAGTTTTGCCAGAGTACATACGCATAAAATGAAGGGACATCAGTAGGATGACTATTTAAGGGTTTTCCTGCAAACAGTTTCCTCAAAGTCTAAAGTTAACTTGTTGTTATTGTTACAGAGTAAAGCAATGTACGGCGGACAACCAGACTTTAATACGGCGGATAAAAATTCTACAATCGCAGAACCAGTCACTCACGGCACAACTCAAGAGGTTACAGGTAAAATAATGTTCTATATTATATTCAAGGTTCTAGCTCTACCATTAAGAAAAATATGGTGAACATCAACTATTGCACCAATAGGGTAAATAATTTCATTATCGATAAATGTTCGAAAGAATTTATGATTGTTTTACTTCACGTTGTAATCTAGGTATAAAGTAAATAGGAATGAAAAAAAAACATGCAAACTACAAATATATATTTTCGATACGACCTTCAAACCTTCAAGAAAATCAGGCAACGCACTCGTAACTCTTAAGTTACGGGTATGGGCCGCGGTAGTCGCTTATCATCAGGTGACGAGTCTGCCCGTTTGACACGTATAAGCGTCAACCTTAGTGAACTCGCCCGATATATTTATATCATTTACTAGGTTTTGGTATACAAAATATAGGTTTCGATAATCGTGAGGAATATCGCATTAGTATGTTACATGTATGTTTAATATTATATAATATAAGTGAGATATATATTTTTGTTCATTGATTACATTCATATACATGAGTTATAAATTTGTTATTAGAGAATATGCTCTTGTAGGAAAAAACCTGAAACCTATGGTTTCAGGTTTTTTCCTACACTGTTTACTACTGAAAATTCTTTAAGCGATCTTGTGACCAATTAGTTCTTAATTCTCAGTAATGCTTAGGTTCAAAGACACTCTACGAGACGCTTTATTTTAGCTAAGTAATCGTTTTAAACCAAAATTTAAGTAGAATGTGACAAATGTTGTTGGTTTCTGAATTCAAAATTCTCGCAACTTGACGGCAGTTGTTTCTCATGACTCACTACTAGATTATTGAAAGGATTTCAACAACCTTTTGATTCGTTGTATGAATATTTATAATGGTCCCGGCGACAGAGGAACGGATTCTAGTGATTTCTTATAACAATCTCATCGTCTTTGTATTTTATCTAACTTCCATATCAAATCGTATACACCGGTCTACACCAACTGCAAAAATTTATACATTTTAATATTATCAGATTAACAGGGTCTTCAATAATTAGACCTTGAGTATGGACAATCATTATCAGATTCAGATATGTGTGTTGTATTATAAAATAACAAATACAGACAGTGAATATATAGTTATTCGGGCTGAGACTGTAGACAATTATTTATGTAAGTTATTTTAAGACTTTTCCATTGTTATGTAATGAGAGGAAAAGGTATATTTATACACAAAACTAGTTATCAAGACGTGTGTGCATATTCCGCCACGCTGCTATTTCGTATAAACTCTACCAAACTTCTTGAAGGTTGTGTTTTGATAGCTGTAGCTGATTACCAAATATAAGCTTAAAATCTATATCTATATATGTATATGCTAGATGTTCTTTTCTGTTTCTAAGTAATGGGATAACCTTTTAGTCCAGTACCGGATATTCAACCAAAAAGCTATTACATATTATTATACATGCCTTTAAAACAAAGTTCTTAGTAACACTAATTTACATATCGGTGAACTCGGACTTTACGATCATGCAAATTGCTAACAGCCAGTAATTACTTTTTACTTTTTGCATGTGGGAGTGAATATTAAAACAAGTTCACAAAATCAATAAATCACTAATGAATAATGTAATAAGTACTTTTTTTAAAGACAACTCCCGCATTAGGAATATAACCCTATATCGCGGGAGACTTTACAAACATACATGACACGGACACAGAAGATCCATATCAAGAACAACAATTTGTGAATCACACAGTGTCGTCTCATGTGCGGATCGGACCCACAACACTCAGCGTAGTAGTAAGCAGCGTGGCGACTGCTTAAACCAATACGCCACCTGTGCAGTCATTTGAAGAGTGTTTATATTGTAGGGATATAATAAGAAGTGAAGATAAGAACTAGTACTGACTAAAGTTCACTAACAAGCAACAAATTACGTTGCAACAACTAATCGACATAGAAATGTATATGTCTCATGTATAACTGTAGCAGTGCTTTATGTACCAAGTCAAACATTTTTGTGATAAGTAAAGTATACTTGTTTATTGTTTGAATTTTCTTATCAACTGTATTATAGTATCGGTGAATGTATATGACGGTTACGGTTTTTTATATAAATTGATTTTACTTTTTGTTAAAATTTATTGTGTGCGTTAAGTAAATTACTTTTTTTGTATAAATTAATGCTTTTTGTTAATACGCAATAATTTAACTTACTATTCAAAGGTAACTTTTATATTTCTGGATTCTGGAGAACGTAAACAAGAGTATTTCGACTAAGACAGTATTTATACACACCTAAAAGTCCTCGCTTATTTGTACAACAGGTACAGTAAGCGATCTCGTCGTGATGCGGAGGAACTTTCCCCGCGTAAAATGAAATGAAGAATGCTAATTCTTCTCAATCTCATCATCCTCTATTTATTTCGCCGATTATCTAGGCTACGTAGTCTCTTCGGCGAGTTTACGTTTAGATTTTTTTTCCATTTAGATCAAAAGCTTTAGAATAATTTCCCTTCGAATAGTCGATACGTATGCGTGATGGAGTGTGTCGTGTGCGCAGAACGTGCTGACGGGGGTGACGGGTGGCGGCGCGGGCGGCAAGTCTGCGCAGCCCGCCACGTGCCTGCTGGTGCTGCTGCTGTCCGTGGCGCTGGTGGCGCTGCCGTCGGTGCGCGACGAGCTGCGCGCGCCCCCCGCGCGCCCCTCGCCCGCCGCCGCGCCGCCCACCAGGGCGCTGCTCTCCGCCACCAACAGTATGTACCTTTTTGTAATTTCACCCCTCGGGAGAGAGGTTAAAATAAGGGATGAACGGTTGTATGGAAGTTCATCGTTTCCAAAGTTAGTAACGCTAAATAAAAAATAATAACGCGAGGGAAACTACGAATAACGACAAGTTTGATATCGACTTTTACCAAAGACGCAACCTCAAATAAAGCTTTAGTAGCAATCTCTAAATTCTATTTTCTTGGCCCTGCTTTGTTTCTCGGCTTTTCTATATAAAAATGCGTAATGCTTGTTATAACCGTACAATTAAAATTCTTTGCCTGCATTAGTTATTGTTACCTTGTTTTCTATTTATGTTTACCAGAACACCTGTTACTTAATTTTTTTTTGTGTGACTCATCCCGATTAAACTTTCGAATGAGTAAAACATGATACCTAATGCAAAATAAGTGTGATTCACCTGCCCGTCCGATGAATCATAGCAGTTGACGTGGTACAAATATAAAAGCTGAGAGCGTAACTCTGTACTTGATTTCATCAGCTACGCGGCACGCCTGACGTGGAAGAAGGCCTGTGGTGACTGATGCAATTATGTACAATGTTAAACTTAAACGCCACTTACTTGCGAAAAGTCTTAATTAGCATTAATTAATCAAATTACATCTTATGAGTATTTACTAATCAATAATAATGTTTTAATTTCACTGAATCATTGCTTTAATAACAAAAATTCATGAAAAAATAGCACTTAGTGCAGAAGGCTTAAAATATAGAAACAATTAATAATAATAAGAAAATGTAAAAGGAACATTATAATAAAACACACATACATATTATTATAAAGCAGATACAATCGCATAACTATTGCTTATTTATAAACTGGGTAGGCCAACCCACGGTCTCACTGCTAATAAGCGATAGCCAACGTCTATGAACCCTACCACACCTGTAGTGTTCTGCACTTTAAAAAATAAATGCTACTCTGACGAGCGTACTCGTCAGCTGAAGTATTTTATAAGGCTGAGGACTGTCCTTCCAATCATGGTACTCCAGTTTTAGCAGACGCCGACTGTGTTACCTAATTGTGATTTTGTAATCAATGATACTTAGGTAACGCCACAGTTTAACTTATTTCATTTATAAACTGTTCGTAAAACTTATACTAAACGATACAAGTTGAAGGCAATTTATGTATGTTTCCTTCAACTTGACTAAATTTAAGGTCATAAGATCGAGCGATTACATTATATGATATTTTGCCTAACAACTGTACAACTTACAAATCATTACATAATTGCCATTTTACCTACATTTCGATGACAGTTATGGTCGAGTTCGTTACAACTTTCTCATTACGACATCTGATCGCATTTACCTCTTGTTGCACTACACGTTGCTTCTCAAAAGATTTACGTAACCTAGTTTTTGATGATACCTATTTTATTTCTTCAGTTACTAGAAAATTAGAATTTTAATAGTTACGGTTCTAAATTAACTCCGAGTGCTGTAACGTTCTTTGACCTTTTACTCATATAACTTTTATATAACTACTTAGATTTATTTAACTTAATAATAAGGTTACTTGTTAATAAGGGTAACTCGAATTTTTTAGAGGCACACTAGGATTTAAAAAAACGTGACTTAGGACTGACTGTGACTTCTCCATAAGAAGCAATCTGCAATTTGCAAAGGGATTCATAAAAATAAAATAAAAACAGACATTGTATATTTCAATTTTTAATGTGTCAATTTTATTAATTACAGAAATGGTGCTAGACGAAACCGTCATAGACGACGGCGAGTTCAATATGGATGAGCTGATCACATTTAACCGCCCACATTCCGACCATGACTACCAGGTCGTAAAGAACTTGGACACGCATAAAGCGCTGGCCGGAGGATACGTTGACCTCCCAATCGATGAGGACTGGCCCCCGAACCTCAAGAAGCGTATGAAAAAACTGGAATTCGATTACGAGGACGGGAAGGACTACCTCCCGCCCATCGTAAAGGAGGAAAATTACGAGAATTTTTACAAGAAAGAATCTAAGCTTGACACTGATATTAACGATAACAGTTTCATACATAACACGCTGCTATCAACCGGTCGAAAACTCGGAGAGCTCCTGGACGCACTGCCCCCAATACCTGTCAAGAACGAGGACCTGGTCATCGAAGAGATCTCCGACTATGACGACACTAGGAACATCACTGAAATTAAGAGTTTCGTAGTTAACGGCACCTTGAACGAATTCTGATTTAGTACATATTATTCTATTTTTTAATCCTTTTTAATTCCTTGTTGTTTCCTTTCAGATAACTATTTTACTATTATTTTACAGAGAGTGTATTTTATATCATTATATGGTTGCAATTAAGTGATTCCTCGCGCGTAGTTGGAAGTGTGTATGTATGAGGTGTGCCTATTCCGAAGTCCCGAAGTGCCGACTGCCAGGGAACAAGTCTAGTTATTACATAATAATGATGTTTATGTTTGTGAGATCGCTATGAATAATTTTATTTAGATTTAAGCAACGTAAAGAGTGGTAATATCGGAGTTTCCGGGAATGAAAGTGGGTGAATATTTATTTGAAATATCGAAATTAATATATAATTAAATCAAGATATATTTTTATTTACGAATCATACTTTGTTAAGTTTAGTATAAGTTATGAACTAAGCATTTTCTCTGTTACGTTTCGGTGCAATTATGTTAGTAACTGGTGTTTCAGTTTTAGCTAGAAATTGTTTTAAGCACCTATTTCACTTGTATTAGTTTTACCTACTTACTAAATAGGCGTGTTAACGACATCGACTACAACGGTAATGCTGGTTCAAATAAATTGTGTAAAAAACAATCATTGCATCATTCCCTTACTTACCTAACAGAAGTACGGTTTATAATTCCCCCTTATAAATGTTGATTTAATCACTAGAATTCAAATGCAACTAATTCATTCGAATATTACTGTTGGACAAAAAAGCTCTAACGCTCAATCAGTAGAGCATTGGGACTCAATGTTGATTCCCGACTGCTCGATTATTATCAAGTTGAACAGTGGGGAAAAAGCGCTTAATGAACAACCGAACATCGCTCGGAGAATTAGTACGCTGAAATGGAAGTGGGCTGATCATGTTAGACTAGGCAGGCTGGTGGTCGAGTGGAGATCGCGGTCAGGCAAACGTAGTGAAGGGCACTGCGGCACGATGGATCAACGACTTGAGGAAAGTGGCTTTAGCGGATGGATCCGGGCTGCCCGAGACCGGGATAGTGGCGCTCTTTTGGGAGGTCTTCTTTCAGCAATGGACGGCGACAGGCTGATGATCATTTAATAATTAAACGGCACTGGTCACTGTTTTGAGAGAATTAAAAATAATATAATGATCCGGATAAACGCGACGGTTCGTCACTGTTTTGTTGCTTCATTCAATCATTATTATCAAATCGTCTCAGAAAAACAAACTCGATTAAAACGGCCAGACACTTCTAATGTAATCCCGAAGAAAATGTAGGTCTCATATTTTTGCGCCTTTGGTGCTTCATAGCTGTCAAAGAATGGTGTCACTGACACTGACTAAATCTATGACTTGGCGACGAAATTTGGGAAAAAACAGATCTTTGCTAGGTGCCCTACTTTTTGAGATATAACTTTTAAACCAGTGACCGACAAATACTGATATTTAGCGACGAATTTTTGTGTTATCAAAATTAAAATCAATGATGGCCAAGAATCTCATCCATAGTTTCAACCGCGGTTCGAGGTACAGACAAGCTTTATAACATGACGCAGCGCTTTTTAACCGTTCACCAATACGTGCAGATGTAGGGCGTTGAAATATATTGGGTCATAATTTTAAATGATTGACGAGGACACTTAATTAATACATTTTAAGTAGTTCTTTAATTGCATGAAATACAAAAAATAAAGCAGAACTTTATTATTATTATCATTAAAAAGACAACTCCCGCATTAGGAATTCATCCTGTGTCGCGGGGGACTTAACAAACATACATGAAACGGACACTGTACGGGTGCGGACCGGCAACCGTGGTACACCAATCAGCACTAATACAACCTAAGTGCGTGTATGGAGCGGGCACCGTAATGAACCGAACAATACTCGTACGTAACCTACGCCTAAGTAACTAAATCCTTAGATTCCCTAGCCCTATCAATCTAATCTTACTATAAGTACACATGGATGGCTATTTACTTGTGTGCCATCCGTGTGTTGTGTTGATGCAGCTGCCTTAATCTCGGTCATGCCGAAATGTTGACGGTGCATCGACTTTACGCCGCACTGCGTGTGACATAGATGCTATTGCTGGGTGATTATGTTCATGACTGAACAGACACAAAGAACACCCAGACTACAATTTGAGAATCACATAAAGTGTCATCCTATGTGGGGGTCGGACCCACAATACATCGTAGTAGTGAGCGGCGTGGCGACCGCTTAAACCACTACGCCATCCGTGAAGTCAAACTGAACTGATAATGTTCTAATTTTCTGTTTTTACGCCCACTCCAATTAAGAACCCCGTTTTCCTCATGGACCAACTATGTACGCACAACTAGTTGTGCCATCCCAGAATATGTTCTTAATGACACAACTAAGCACAACTGATTTACTATAACCATTCCTTTTAGCACAACTACAGGAGGAAATAAATAAGATTATTACTAACCACTTCAGATATTGATGATTCATGTTGGCCACTTCTGTCATATCTTTGTATATTAACAAATAGAAAATTATAAATGCCATTTCATGTCATTTATTATCAGTAATTATTTAAAAAAAAATTGATATATTATTTTCGTGCATACGCTGGCGGTATATCCTGAATGTAAGCATGTCTATGTCTACGCCAGAAGACGAAGAACTTATAACCATAACGATGAATCTTTGTACACTGATTGTAATTAGTTGTGTATCTAGGAACTAATATTAATTGAAAATTATTTAGTTGTGCCAATAGGAACGATTTAAAAAAAAATGTCCTCATGACACAACTAGTTGTGCATACATAGTTGGTCCAAGAGGAAACAACGTTAAGAACTGAAAATGATCAATGAACAGGCTGCCATGTGAATGCTAACCAATAACCACAGCATTCGTTGGCTCAGCCCAAGCTCAGCATTTGCTGCTATTGGCCACTGAGGTAGAAGGTAGTCGAGGGATAAAACACTTCCTCGCACTTAATAATGTATATACCTACCTAATTTTTTAGATCAATGCCGATAGTATCTGTAGTAAATAAATAAAACCAATATCTTATAATAAGCTTTATTAATTATGAATTAACAAATGTTTTCGTAATTTCGAACAAGGTTTGTGACATAACTGAATACATATCGAATATTTTTATCATCTGACAGAAAAATAAACACTGAAAACTGTTCTATGTATATGAATTTTAATACTTACTTTTACATTAAATTGTATTCAGATGGAAAAGCATGTATAATACATAAAAGTTAATAACTACAATTGAAATATCTCCGTGTGTCCACAAGCCGACTGAACATGACTTACTTAGTAAGCGAAATTTTAAAATTAAATTAACTACAGAGTAAAAACCCACGGGACAGGAAGGGCGGCTCACACACCGATACTATATATTTGGTGCAGCCTTCACAATAAATAATCATGTTACTTTTATTTTTACATAGCAGAAATTGAATTCAAAGTATGCAATAAAATAAAAAGGTGCTCCGTAATGTTTAGTAATTTATTACGTACGAATACACGTTAGTCACGATCGTCACGAATCGACAGTAGGTGTAAATTATCTAGCGATCAGCGACTGTCAACACCCGACGACGTAACTCAAAACGATAATTTACAATGCTCCCTTGTACACACGACGACATGAAGCATTCACCCGCTCTCTGCTCACGCGCACACAGGGCCGGCCCGAGCCGATCTTGCAGTCATTTCTCAACAATATAACGTCCATAACTCTACACATACGCAGTGCTCAACCGTACACGTCTGCAGATCACACAAGTTCATTTTAATATTTAATACCCAATCTAATTTGATTATTCTATCTAGCAAATAGAAAGTAACAATTAGGTACAATTATGGTATTAATCATGTTTTAAGACTTAGGTTTATTACATTCGATTATACTGCAATGGTTGTACAATAAGTATTAACGATCCATTCAACGAGAAGAATACTTCAATTTGTTTACAATAATTTATCAAAAACCATGATTAAAGAATTGATTTAATAATTCTCTTTTACATATCGACAATATTCGCATTATTATACTTTTCTAAAAAATATGAAAACGACACAACAAGATGTTTATTTTTTATATGTTACAAAACATTTCAAATAGTCTTAGCCAAATGAATAACTTCTAATGCATTGGATACAATTTTGTGATGACTACAATTCTGTGACTGATTCAAAATACCTTAAAGAAATGTCAATGTGACCAGCGCAACGCGACGACATACTTAGTTTAATTTGTTACCTAGAGTCAATTTAGAGCGTATCGAGTGGAAGAGAATTCGGTACCTGGTCGACGGGCTCTGATTACAATGACATCTACAATATCTTATTCCTACGCAAAATCACGCTTGTTGAAACCTTCCCGCTTCCAGTCCAAGCAAAAATATACAAATGTTTTTAAAGCTGTACAATTTATACACTATCTTAGCGACCACATGAATCTCTATATTTTTAAAATGGTCGAAAAGGTACCTCTAAAAATACCTTTCTACACTTTTAGAAGATATTCAGCATACGTAGTCAATCTTTAAGGAAACGTAGCAACAAAATTAGACATCTTTTGCATAATGGCCAGTTTTGCTACACTCAAGTGTAGCGTTTGCTTCACGCAGAGTAACAGACCTATACAGAATACAATCACAACTTAACACTATAAGCAAAAAACAGTTATATACAGATTGGGTTCCGGCCGTGTACAATTTAAATGGATATGCATTTCAATATCTTCTGAAAGTGATAATAATTTTTTCAAGGGACACCAGCGTCTGCACCGTCCACGATGACAGCACGCTGTATGCCCGTGGCCTTCTTATCTGTGTGGTCGCAATCCGACTCCTATATATACATCATCGCTTCAAACCAAACTATAGCAATTCGTGTGAGTACCACAGCCCTGGCTGCCGCGTCTGTATCCGTCGTCACAATAAGATAGAAAATGTTAAATGATATTGCAATTTTGTAGCTTTTTTTTTTCTTAAATAAACATCCCCAAATACTAGGACATGTA